TTAAGGTAGGAAATTGTTTGTTCTAAGTTTCAAACCAATAGTTGGTTTGATAGTATACAGAAGAAATCATTTTTTTTAGAATAAAACAGTGCAGTTCTTAAAAGAGATTTCCATATTTTGGAAAATATAGACTGCTTGTTTGAAACAAAAATTAGTTCATTTTTGTTTGATCGTATTAACCATATGTTGGGAAATTGAATATGATCAAATCAAATTTCGAAGGACAAAGTTGGGTAATTCGAAGTTGATTGCAGAAGAATTATGTTAATCCTAGAATCAGTATGAAAGGCAATACTTATTTTCTCAAAAGAAAAGATTTCATACTTTGGAAGAGTTTGAGTTGGAATAGAGTCAAAGCACATCAATCATACAGTTTACAATTGGAATAGTAAATCAGAATCTGATAAATGAAATTCGAAAAGCTCAGTTGTATTGATAAGTGCTGTTTACACTAGGATTCATTTGAGTACATTCTCGATTTCATAAAAATATGGAATGGAGAAAGTTACAAGGTCATGAAATTTAGTCCAACAAAATTCAATAAATGAATACTCTTTCCCTACTCTATCCTCTATCTTGTCTAGGTTTGGTTTATCTAATTGGTAAGCCCTCAATTGAGAAGAGAGTTGTTGGGCCTTCACTTCGAATTCTATCTCTTTTAGAGCTCTATCTGAGCATTCATCTCCTCTTCTTCATGCACTTCGTTCATAGCAGCATCCTCCCCATACTCAGAATCTTGGCTCTTGAAGGCTTCATATTCATCAAGGAGATTCTCTGCCTCATATTGAACCTGGATTCGAGCATAAATGGCTTCATCCAGAACTTCACTGCTAATGGAAGCATGGAAGTGCCAGTTGAGTAGGAGAGGAAGTTGGTCTAAAAAGGTATAGAGCTCCATTTGGGCTACAGGGTTAAGGAGATGACTTCGAGACATAATGTCACAAGCTCATAGAAAGTTTTTGTGGAGAATGTCATTTCCAAGGACTTCAAAGGATAAATGAGAAAATGCAGCAAGCAATATCTGAGCTCTGAATTGCTGATAAGGAATTAGAGACGCCAAGACCTGGTAAGGAGGGAAGAATCGGCCCTTAGAGAAAGTAAGCCTCAACTCATTAATCCAATTTGGATTAGGAGGTAGAGGAGGAGTAGTCGACGGTTCCCTAGGTGAGTCCAGAAATTCAGGCCTGGTCACACATTCTAGATAATCAGAGGGATAAAGTTTTGTTTTTTTGGCTAAAAACGCAGGACTGATCTGATCCCTAGAGCTTCATCAGAACGTGGAAAACTTCAAACTATTCGAGATGGCAAAGTAAAAGTATACCATGCTGTAAGCAGATTGTCTTCAAGACTGCGTCTACGGTTAATAGGAACATATGGATATACTACAGAACTGCGTCTAGAAGGGGGGATTTCAAGAGGGTCATCGAATTCAGGGAAACGATGATGAATGCGTTCCCTCGTCTGAGGTTGAGTAGGGGTAGGCCAAGTTTCCCAGCCAAAGGTCATAGAAAAAGAAGAAGCAGCAACTTCATCATACGCGGATGGCTTTGTTGCAGAGGAAGAGCTTCCAGTATCCATGGTCTCAAATTTGTGTTCCAAAGAATCGTAAGCAATAGGTTCTTGGTTCGAAGGTCGATGATTTGCGAAAGCTTCCATAACTTGTATAAATGGGAGCGGATAAAAGTAGCTAATCAATGCATGAAGGTTCTTTCGAGGACGAACAACATTATCAAATAACTCTTCGTATGCTTGATCAATATAAGAAAAGACTTGCTTGGCCATGAAAGATGTACCAGTCCTTTCGAATACAGAGATAGTATAGAGATGATCAAGAGATAGAAGAGAATTTAATGCAAATGTTTCATTGATGAATGACGGTTTTATTTCTGAAAAATGCAAAGCCCATGCACATTCTAAGACGTGGGTAAAAAAACCTTGATCCACTAATATCACCAAGTATTGGGTATATTAGTGCGGGGGGTAATGTTGGCTACATATTTTGTACAAGCCAATCACAGTTCAATACGTGGCAGGATGAGGGCAATACAGGGAAAATAGTTCAAGTCTTCAATCATAATCACACACGTGGCAGTTAGTATTGGTTATTATGGATCTATATAGTATGGAATCAGCAGAGAAGTGCAAGATGACGTGGCCTTAACGATTACTCATATTTAAATTCAAATATCATGAGGGAAGCCTAACTGCAGACATGGCGTAGTGGAGCTAACTGTGAGGGAACATGATCAGCAATCATGGAAGGATGATTCAACAGTTAGAAGCACATTTTGACGATTACCATTGAGAAGTATAAATAGTAGAGAAGGTCCCAGAAAGAGCCCTCAAACTGAGATTCAAAAAACCAATTTTATCTACTTTATTTTCCTTTCCAGTTTTATATTTCTTGTTCTTTACATTCCTATACTTTAAATTCCTGCACTGCACTTCGTTCATAAGAGTAGTTTCAAGTAGTTTGTTGCTGTAAACCTCTACGAGGCTGATTTGGATCATTGTAAGCCTTCCATTTTCTTAATGAAATGCTACAATTGTTCTTCATTTAATCATTGTTTACTTAATTCTCCTAAAACAAAGCCACCAGTAAAAGTCCTCTTCATTGAGGCTGAAAGAACTAAAACACAATCGTCTGATAATTGGTTGGCAATTAATATTCTGTAAGGACTGATTGATCCTCACTGGCATGCTCAAATTTATAATAATAACCTTCGAGAGTCAAAAAGCCGACAATATCATTTATGCTTACCCTTTATCTTAAATTTGTGTAGATGGAAGGAATTGAATATGGATTACTTGGTGAATGTGTTAGGTAGAGTGGAAATAGAATCACTGCTAATTGATGTTTTATTTGTGTGCAAGTCATGGTTCAAAGCTACAAAAAGTCCTCTTTGCTAGAGACAACTTGATTTTCTTGAAATCTCACTTGATGATTGCACTTATTTATTTTTCTTTTCAAGATTAATCAATGAATATCAAGTAGAGGGAAAACTCTCTTTCACAGCAATCGTCAAGACTTTAGTCAAGCATAGTTTTACAACTACTGTGTATGTATCGCTTCTTGGCTCTGGCTTCTATGATGAAGAAGTACTGTTTTACATTGCAGATCAGTGAGTTTTTTGCCCAATGTTCAAGAAAAAGTTCAGGAAAAAAAAGTCTCATCTTCTTACCAAAATCAAAACACATTTTATGGATTTCACCTTCTTTTTTTATAAAAATATATATATATATATATATATTATTTTTGACGTACTTTTTACCCAAATTCCAAAACAAACAAATATACCATGGCACTAGTTAGCACCAAAAAAATGCATATTGTTATTTCCTACTTTACAAATTGACTCAGCCCTCGTTTGAGAACCCTCCCTTTTAGCAAAAAGCCAAAAAGATACTAAATTAGTTAAAAAGCCAACAACTCATACCAAAAAGTCAAAGATTCTCTTTTCTCTCTACTTTTTGCACATCTTTTCATAAAAAGCCAAAAAGTTATTCCAAACATACTAGTTTTTTTTAGCTCATATTTTAGCCAAATAGCCAAAAAGTTACTAAATTAGCCTGTTCTCAAACGAGGCCTCAATGTAGATTTAAAATTTGACTCTTTGCTGAGTTTTGTGAAAATAAAAGTAATGAAAAGTGAGTAAGAAAAAAAAAATGATACTGCATTTTTCTAGCATGAAAGCGGGGGCAAAAACAAGAAGAATTTTTTTTTGTACAATCCACTTAGCATAGAAACTTACTTTCAATTTCTTGTAAAAACATTTATTTTTACGAATATATATTTTTGTAAAAGTAGTCAACTATTAAAAATTTCACATAAATTTCATCTTAAAAAAATTTGTACTAAAAATAAATTTTCATTTTTTTTAAAACTTCGCATCATATTTTTCCCTATAATCAAACCAAGCCTTTTGGTTTAATTTTCTCTGTTGTTTTATATTAAGGTGATTGATTACTTTGTATTAGTGGTTGGTAATGGTAACACTTGCTATCTTTTTGACTCACCTGGTGTCCTAACTTAATTGTATTAGAGCTACCAGGTGATATAGATCATGATGTTGTGTCCAAGGTCCCAAAACTCATGAGTAATTGGGGATGTTTGGAGTTCTTAAGGTTTGGAACCACCTTTAAACTGGAAGAAATTCTTGCCCAAATCAACATTCACTGCAAGAACTTTGCTGGTTTCTCTGCTTTTCATGCCGATATTAAGAAAGATCCACAATTGTCACCTCAGTTCCACACATAGTATTTGGGGTTAAGGTATTCAAACATTGATCGAAAGAGTCTATTGATGATTTTGAAAGGCTGCAAAAAGCTTGTGTATTTTGATGTAATGTAATGGACTGCAAAGCTTTTGACTGCGGTGATGATGAGATTTTGAAGCTTGCTTCTCATATCAAAACATTCAAGGATGAGGGATCGCATTTGACAACATAACATCATCAATGTTACTGTGGCATTATTTTGAATGTGATTTCTATATATAATTTGTGTTTTTTTCCCTTTCTATCTACATTGATGGCAGTCATGCAACTCCTGGACTGAGGGGTGTTTGTTTGACGGACTAATGTGGGTGTGGTTGTTTGATGCACTAATGTGTGTTTAATTTTTCCACAATTAGTTGTTCCCAATTTTCTTTTTAACGATTTTGTTAGCAAGTGTCTTAAGGCTGCCACAACGGTAACCAAATCTGTGCCACGTCACACCATTCTACCAAACATCTTCAACAAAAACTTAAGCAAAGCACAACCAAACTTCTCCATCAACCCAATACATTACTATTAAAAGCAAAGAGAATGAAAACAAAGCCAGTAAAGCAAAATAAATTACAAATAACAGTTAAAATCATAAATGAAGAAAACAAAAAACTCATATGCTAATGTTGGGTTCATATTGGGAAACATGAATCATCCATTACATTAGAACAAAACAGAGATTTTGAGCACTAGAACTAGTTGACAATTGCAAACTAAGATACTCAACAACCATTACTCAAACAAGGCATAATCAATATCATACACAGTGTCTTGATAACAAAAATAATCATCATAGTCATCATACAACCTCGAACCCTCATGCTTGAAGGTGCAAATGTGAGATGCAAGCTTTAATAGCTCTTCTATCAGCTTTGTCAAATCCTATGCAATAACTAACATCAAGATACTAAGTTCTTTACAGCCCTGCAAAATCATCACTACATTTTTTTTTTTGAATGATTCCATTCCTTATAGTTAATTTCTTTATGCTTGGCAGAATGGTAACAAGAGCTGAAGCAACATCTTGCTTAATAATGGCAATGACAACAGTCAATCCAATAAAGTTCTTGCAATGAATGCTGATTTGGGTGAAGACTTCTTGGATTAAAAATGTCTCTAAAAGCCCTAAAAACTCTAAATTTTTCCACTTGCTCACAAGGTTTGGTATTTGCAAAAGATTATCACGAGGTGTAATGCAAGACAGTAGCAAAACCTTTAAGTCAGGACACCTGAAGAGCAAAAAACAGAGCAAAATTTAACAAAAACTAACACAAAGTCCTGCCTATATATTCTTCTGATGAAACTAGAAAGTAGATTCAAATTAGAATCATTTTAAAATAATCCACCTTTGCAATAATTTTGCAATGATGGGTTAAGATCCAAACACAAACCCAGTGCAAGGTTAGAACAAAAATAGTGGTTTTATTTTTCTATATCTAATGAAATCAAGCTAATGTAGTAGGTTTGTAGATCACATATTCATCTGCAACATAAGGCACAGCTTCCTCTGTACAACAGTCTGGAAGCGAAATAAAAGTAACAGATCTTTCACTATGCTTGACTACATACTTGATGAATTCAGTGACAGACCTATTGCATTTTAATTGATATTCATCCACTATTCTACTTTTGTCAACAAAATGGCATGGACGAAGTTTGATTTGAGAGAAATCAAGTTCCTGCCAGCAAAGAGAACTGAGAGTGGCATTGAGCCATGACTTGCACACAAATGGAACATCTGAAAGCAGTGATTCAATTCCAACTCTCCCAAACACATTCACCAAGCAATCCGCACTCAAATCCTTCCATTTGCGTCCTTCCATCTATAACAATGAAAAAGAAAGAACAACAATAAATGCTATTATACACAATAAATAAAGAGAAAAAGGAAGGGGGGGAAAAAAGAGAAAGGAGTACAAAATTTGAACTTATGGTAATTAATTTTAAAAACAAGCATTTGGATGTCATTTGAAGAACAGAATGTGAAGACTAACACATCAAATAAAGGATTCGGATAACAAACAATTCAATGCTATTATGCAAAGATTACATTAACCAACAAAGATCAGATAAATTTTAGCATACATTAGTAATAATCAGACACAATAAACCAATGTATGACACATAAGATTATAAACAAAATATATATAATAAAAAATGTCATCATGAAAAACCTATTAGGTATTACTTTGAAACTGAGAGATAACAAGCCCTTCTACTCCCTAATATTGATTACTCTGTAAAAGCAAATGTGTATATATATATATATATATGATATGAACTGGGCTCTTCCACCAGTTGAAAAGTCAGGAAGATATTTCGTGGGCTGAAATTTTTCTCGTGAGAAACAAAAACTCAGGGACTTGGGCATCTCTGTTAGAAAATGGTAATGATAGGGATACTAAATTTTTTACCAAATAAATGACTGAATGTCTCACCTGGGTATGGGATCTGCAATTTTGTGGACCTCACACCTATGTGGGACATTTGGTCATTTATTTGGTAGAAAATTTAGGACCCATAGCATTCTCTATTAGAAAACGTTTCAAATTCTAAGAATCAATTTAATTCATGAGCTTGAATTTTATGCAAATAATAAAACTTGCAACCCATATTAGAGTTATTTTAGTACCATTTGCAAAGTACCAATTGTTTACCCCCTTAATTCAATTCCCCCTAGGAAGAGTTGAACCGATGAACTCCCCTAGGTAGGGATGTAATCGGTTCAGTACGGTCAGTATTTAAGTAAAAAATTACACTGAACCGATAATGTCGATTTTATTATATTGAATATCGATACAAACAGCTTCTCCTATCAAACCGCACCAAACCAAACCGATTGAAATGGTTTGGTTTGGTGCGGTTTAGTTGGTTTAGGATTTTTCAAACTTGAGTCACTTTTAAATATAATCATTAATCTATATAAAAACATTAAATTAGTTATTTGTCCACCATTTCAAACATATCCAATCCATCCATTTAATACATACTTTTCAATTCCTAAATTAACAAAAATAAAAACAAAAACAAAAAAATTTTAAAATAGGTTTCAAGAATAATGAGTTAGAGTTAAGATTATATATAATAAAAGTTTACAAACTTAGGTTATAAAGATGATAAGTTTAATTAATTAAGGTTAATAATTTATTACTTATTAATATAATCATATTATTAGATTTTAGTCAATTTTTTCGATTTTTCTTACATCCCTACCCCCTAGGGACTAAGCCCAAAGTCATGGTGGCCAACCAGGTTACCTTACCTACTACATTGTTGGAGACAAAACAAAACCAAAATGGCAAGCAAAGTACCTATAGCTTCACATTGTTCTTCCAACTGCAAACCAAAAAAATGGAGCACTTGAACGTTTACCTTTGGAAGTAATAATAAAAGAAATCAGTATAAAGCTATGCAATTTCATAAATTTAGTCGGCTTCAAGGTGACATGTCATAAATGGTGGTTCTTATCCAGGTCTGGTCCTGAGATTTTCGGGATCCAAAGCCGATAATGAACTAATAAATATCATTAGATCATTTGAGGTCCTTCACATTTTTTTTTATTCAATGAAAAAAAAAAATTGAAGATAAAGGACAAAACATTTGTGTCAAAAGAGTTAGGGTTAAGAATTAAATAGGGAGAGAGAATGGGTCCTTTTTAATTTGAATGGGACTTTTAATTTTTCAATGGGTCAATTTATTTTAAATTAGTTTGGGTTTTCTTTAATTTTTTTTAGACTTAAAACACACACTACAAGAAAATACACTTTTGGCGACCACTTTTGCCAACTAAAAATATTTTGGTTGCCAAAAGTTTTGGAATTGGCGACCAAAAATTATGTTAGTCGGTAAAAGTACAATATTTAGCGACTAAATTCTTTTAGTCAGGGTATATTGATTATTGGTGACTAAAAAAAATTTAGTCACTAAATTTGCCAGAATTGGCAACTAAAAAAATATTTTAGTCGCTGTATAGCTAGTTTTGGCAACTAAAATAATTTAGTCACTGAACGAAAACTAAAAATTTACTTTTTATCTTTGGCGACCAAAATTTTGGTTGGCAAAAATTAAATTTCAGCGACTAAAAAATATTTTAGTCGCTGTATAGATAGTTTTGGCAACTAAAATAATTTAGTTGTTGAATGAAAAATAAAAATTTACTTTTTATCTTTGGTGACAAAAATTTGGGTCGGCAAAAATTTAATTTCAACGACTAAAAAATATTTTAGTCGCTGTATAGATAGTTTTGGCAACTAAAATAATTTAGTCGCTGAATGAAAAATAAAAAATTATTTTTTATCTTTGGCGACCAAGATTTTGGTCTGCAAAAATTTAATTTCAACGACTAAAAAATAATTTATTTGCTGTATAGATAGTTTTGACAACTAAAATAATTTAGTCGCTGAATGAAAAATAAAAATTTATTTTTTATCTTTGGCGACCAAAATTTTGGTCGCAAAAATTTAATTTCAATGACTAAAAAATATTTTAGTCGCTGTATAGATAGTTTTAGTAACTAAAATAATTTAGTTGCTGAATGAAAACTAAAAATTTACTTTTTATCTTTGGTGACCAAAATTTTGGTCAGCAAAAATTTAATTTCAGCGACTAAAAAATATTTTAGTCACTATATAGATAGTTTTGGCAACTAAAATAATTTAGTCGCTAAATGAAAAATAAAATTTTATTTTTTATATTTGGCGACCAAAATTTTGGTCAGCAAAAATTTAATTTCAGCGACTAAAACATATTTTAGTCACTGTATAGATAGTTTTGACAACTAAAATAATTTAGTCGCTGAATGAAAAATAAAATTTTATTTTTTATCTTTGGCGACCAAAATTTTGGTCGGCAAAAATTTAATTTCAGTGACTAAAACATATTTTAGTTGCTGTATAGATAGTTTTGGCAACTAAAATAATTTAGTCGCTGAATGAAAAATAAAAATTTACTTTTTATCTTTGGCAACCAAAAGTTGGGTCAGCAAAAATTTAATTTCAACGACTAAAAAATATTTTACTCGCTGTATAGATAGTTTTGGCAACTAAAATAATTTAGTCGCTTAATGAAAAATAAAAATTTACTTTTTATCTTTGGCGACCAAAATTTTGGTCGCCAAAAATTTATTTTCAGTGACTAATAAATATTTGAGTCGTTGTATAGTTACTTTTGGCTACTAAATTTATTTAGTCGCTGAATGGAAAACAAAAATTTACTTTTATTTGTGACGACTAAAAGTTTGGTCGCCAAAAATTTATTTTTAGCGGCTAAATAAAATTATAGTCGCTATATAGTTAGTTTTGCCTACTAAAATTATTTAGTCGCCAAATAAAAAACAAAAATTTATTTTTTATCTTTTGCGACCAAACGTTTGGTCACTAAAAATTTATTTCCAGCGACTAAAACATATTTTAGTCACTGTATACTTAGTTTTGCCTACTAAAATTATTTAGTCGCCAAATGAAAAACAAAAATTTATTTTTTATTTTTCGCGACCAAACGTTTGGTCACCAAATATTTATTTTCAGCGACTAAAACATATTTTAGTCGCTGTATAGTTAGTTTTACCTACCAAAATAATTTAGTCGCTGAATGAAAAACAAAAATTTACTTTTTATCTTTGCTGACCAAAAGTTTGGTCGCAAAATATTTATTCTTAGCGACTAAAACATAATGTATAAAAATTGAATTCGTTTATCTGAAGGGGCTCGCTCTTCCCCATTTGTGGGTCATCGATCTCAATCCCTCAAGCCGCACTGTATGTCTTTGCCACCATTGCTGACACCACCAGCGGTCTTTGCCTAACAGCTAGGCTAGTAAGAAGAAAATAGGCATTTATCTATCACTTGAGAATCGATTAAGGCATGAAGATCTTCCTCCACTGATAAAAATCGTGTTGATCTTGATTGACAAATCAACCTCGGAGTTGAAAGGGTTGGTGTGGCCAGAAATGAGAACTCCTTCAAGCCATTTATCCATCACCCTGCATTGTCGAAGCCATCCTTCTGTATCTCCTACAGACCTAATCCATTGAAGAAAATAGGGCTACTTACGTGTAGATCCTAATAAGTGGACTTATTGTCTAATAAGTCCTAAGAGAAAAATTTGTCATAAAAAAGTCACTAATTGTAAGTTTTAGCGACAATTTATAAAAATCATGATAAAAAAAAGTCACTAATTTGTCAATTTTTAGCGACATATATAAAAAATTGTCACGAAAAAATTATTTTTAGCGACAATTTTACCAAGACTTATTTTCAATAGGACTTGATGGGAATTAAGTCCAACTATTAGGACCTATTAGTAGTTTACCCAAGAAAATATTCATACCTAGATCTCGATTTGCACATATGACTGTAAGCCTTGTGGTTGTGATACCACAGAGCAACTTATCAAAAGCTATAGGCTAGGGCTAGGGCTCCACATTGATTAAGCTGCCATCAGTTTGACTAATTTGATGGTGGGTCCACCGTCATTCTATGGAAACAAGCCGACCACGCTTGATCTTCTTAGGCTGGGGATTAGAGCTAGTGGAGCCTCCACTGCTGGCTTTTCGGCTTTGTTTACTTCCATTGGAGATGGGCTTTATGTTGCAGTAGTCAGTGGCAGAGCCAGGAAATTAAGTTAGAGGGGGCAGTTATTAATTATAATTTGTTATTTTAAAAAAAAATCATGATCAATATTAAGATAAGAATAATTTTATGAGCTAAATTTAAGCATAACAAATTAAAAATCATTGTTAATAGGAACAAATCAAAATTCTATAATAGTGTGTAATACATCGGTGCAGGATGGTAATCTAAGTTTGTAATTTTGGCACAAAAAATTACTAGGTTTCAAAATTCCTAATTTTAGAAAATAAAAACACATCATTTATAGCACAAAATATTATAAAATCTATTTAATTTTTATTTGACAAAAAATATTAAACAGATCTTATTGGTTATAAATGATGTGTTTTGAACGTAAATTATTACATAGTCTTCGAGTACCATATGGTGTTGCCTATGTGATGCTCAAAATATGAGAAATCACAAATTACACTAAATAGTTTGTCAACTACCTCAAAATAATGACTTAATTATATTCAATCCATAAGATTTCGTACGACACTATTGGTTTAAACTACTATGTAAATACATTTTGTATATGCCCACACAACAAAAACAAAAAAAAAATTCAAAATTGGAAACATCTGGAAAAAAAATGAGTTGATAATATTGGAAACATCTGTAAAATTGTAATTGGAAACATCTGGTAAATTGTAAACATCTATAAAAATTTTAGCAACCAAAATTTGGTGGCAAATGTTAAAACGACCCCGTTTTGAATTTTATTTAAGTAAATGTTGATTCAATACTGACCAAACAGTTTTGTAGGGAACAAATTGCCCTATTTTAGCCGAGTGAATTTTTCAAACTCTTTATACAGTCACTCCCGTGCACCACTCCTCATACGCACCTCATCGTCGATTCTCCTGCTCGATGGCAGTCAACAAAGTCGCTCTTCCTCCGTCATCACAGTCGCTTGTGTCGATTTTTCGACCAAGCATCAGCGGCGCTTCGAGAAGTACTTGGGCCTCCATTGTTAGGTATGTATTTTTATCTCTCTCTCTTTCTCTCTCTCTCTCTCTCTCTCTCTCTCTCTCAATCTTTGTAGTTGTGTTCCATTACTCCTCTTACTCACATGGTTGCTCTCTCTTTTCGCACCTAACAGCACCACCATCACCATTTTTCTGCTACAAAATTTGGTGGCAAATGTTAAAACGACCCCGTTTTGAATTTTATTTAAGTAAATGTTGATTCAATACTGACCAAACAGTTTTGTAGGGAACAAATTGCCCTATTTTAGCCGAGTGAATTTTTCAAACTCTTTATACAGTCACTCCCGTGCACCACTCCTCATACGCACCTCATCATCGATTCTCCTACTCGATTGCAGTCAACAAAGTCGCTCTTCCTCCGTCATCACAGTCGCTTGTGTCGATTTTTCGACCAAGCATCAGCGGCGCTTCGAGAAGTACTCGGGCCTCCATTGTTAGGTATGTATTTTTATCTCTCTCTCTCTCTCTCTCTCTCTCAATCTTTGTAGTTGTGTTCCATTACTCCTCTTACTCACATGGTTGCTCTCTCTTTTTGCACCTAACAGCACCACCATCACCATTTTTCTGCTACAACCAGTTCGCCTATATTCAAACAACCCCGACATCAGGTATGGGTCCTCTCTCTCTCTGTCGCTCAATTTCTCTATTTTCCTTTGTTTTCCCTAATTGTCAAAACCAATTTTTTTGAAAATCCCTAATTTTAAAACCCTATTGAGTGAATGTTTGAAGGGATGGACTAAAATCATACTCACCAGATAATGCAAAAAATGAAAACTGATATATATATATATATATATATATATGAAATTGAAGCTAAGGTCAACCTTAAATATTACCTCTCTTACTGAACAGAAATACTCAAATAAGAATGAAGTGGATAAGAATTAAGAAAGGAAGAATAGAAAACACTTTTGAATGCTTTGTTGAAGTGTTGATCACCATTTTGTTTTGAGGTTTGGGCCAGTGCTAACAATGTGTTCATGCTGGTTGTGGCATGATTGCTGCTGTCTTGGGGCTGGTTTGGTTATTGTATTTGTCTACTAATTTGTGGTGCTTCTATGGCAGCTTTGATGTTATTGGTTTAGGTCTTAATTATTGTTTGGTGCTTTTAGCTCGACTCTGAAACAGGGGCAACAAGGTTATAAGGTCTTAAGCAATGTAAAACATAACACCTTAGTCTGTATTGGCTGTGTCTCTAGCATACCTTTGTGTCATGATGCCTATGTAGATGTATATATCTATCATGACAACTTAAACAATTTTGAACAGGCTTCTTTTTATCTTTTTGGCTTTGCCAATATAGAGATTTTAGAGAGTATATGCTTCAAGTGATTGCTTTGAGTTCAGGGTGTTTTTCTGTTGCAAAGGAGCTGTGTATATTACAGCAGTTAGTTGGTTATTATGTCTTTAACATGTGTCATTGTCTTCAGATCAAGCAGCATAGACCAAAGCATTCAATGAAATAAAGCAAACAGTCCCCTAAAATGAGTTCCCAAAAACTTGAATTATCACTATTTCTAGTACCAAAAAACTTGACTTATTAACTCTTGTTTTAATTGCAAGTTAATCCAAACATATGTCCACATAGGCCGAAAAGAAATTTTTTCATACTTAAATGCACGCATGCGTATGTTGTTCACTTATTCTTCTTACTTATGTATTGATGTTTATGAATGAAGTTTCTCGCGGGTGTTATTTTTGGAGTCATAAGGTGCATTGATGTTTATGAATGAAGTTTCTTCATTTCTTTAGAACCATAGACATTCATAGGTCACTAAAATCATAGATTTCACCTAAACTACTTTATGAATTATGTTGCCAGCGTTGACAAAAACAATTAATTGTGAAAGTGAATACTTTATTGCAACTATTGTTGCTGCCCATTTGCTTGGCCTTTTTTAGGGCCATATTACCAGGCTATAAAACCACCAAATGAGCCCTTTTTTTCACGTAGAAAATAAACGTTTAGCATGTTTAGGGTAGTTTATTACACTTTCTCTACTATTTTCAAACCCTAATTAATGTAATGGTTGTCTTTAACCTTTCAGATGGCCCAAATAGACAAGGGTTGGATGACAATAAAAAATAGATTAAGCAATAGGGAGTATCAAAAAGGAGTGAATTCATTTATTGAATTTGCAAAGATAAATGTAGGCTTCGAGGATAAGATTCGGTGTCCATGTATCGATTGCTTGAACCACAAAATACATACAAGCCACGTGGTAAATATTCATTTGATTCAAAGAGAGATATCTATTTCTTACAAGACTTGGGTGCACCATGGGGAACTTGTTCCCGTGGCTCAACCTCTCATACCAAATGAAGGTCACCATGTCATATATAGTGAAATTGTAGGGGAAAATCAGGATGTCGGGGATGATTTGCCTACTATGTTGGAAGAGGTTTGCAAGGGTTTTGCAATGGATGAGGAAGGGGACGAATTACCTGCTAGTTTTGAGAATGTGGAGGGGCGCAACTTTGATAAATTATTTGAAGATGCTCAACATAAACTATACCCGGACTGCACAAGTTTCACTGTGTGTTATTAAGATGTTTCACATTAAGGTGTACAACAAGTGGAGCAATAACTCATTTGATATGGTTATGAAAGTTTTCAAGGCTACTCTACCCGAGTGTGATGAGACTGTTCCATGGACCATATATGCCGCCAAAAAATTCTTACATGACTTGGGTTTGGGCTACGTTCCCATTCATGTGTGTAGGTATGACTGTGCATTATTTTGGAAGGAGAATACAAATCTTCATAATTGCCCCAAGTGTAAAGAGCTTAGATACAAGTTGGACAACGAAAAGGGTAAGAAGATCCCTCATAAGATATTGAGGTACTTTCCGTTGACACCAAGATTGAAGAGATTGTATATGTCCAAGAAAACCGCTACATATATGAGATGGCACAAGGAGAAACGTGTGGATGATGGAATATTAAGGCATCCGGCTGATGCTGAGGCATGGAAAGAGTTTGATTGGCAACATCCTATGTTCGCCATGGATCCACAAAATGTAAGGCTAGGGCTCGCCACCGATGGTTTCAATCCATTTAGAAATATGAGCACATCATACAGTATGTGGCCCGTTATCCTAATGCCTTACAACCTTCCACCGTGGAAGTGTATGAAAGAGCCTTTCTCCATGATGTCATTGCTTATTCCTGGATGATCAGCACCTAGAAGAGATATTGATATTTACTTACAGCCATTAGTTGATGAGTTGAAGGAGTTATGGAGGGATGGGGTGCAAATTTATGATGCCAAAAATGAACAATCATTTAGAATGCATGCTGCAGTGATGTGAACCATCAAAGACTTCCCTACATATGGTAACATGTCTGGGTGGACTACCAAAGGTTATTTGGCTTGTCCCACTTGTAACAAGGACGCATCATCACAAAGGTTAACAAGTAAGATAGGGTACATGGGTGCTCGTCGTTACTTGCCCGAGAATCACAGATGGCGAATGAGCAAGTTGTTTAACAGACAAAGTGAGGTCAGGTGCAGACCTGTGGAGTTATCAGGGGAGCAAATATTAGAGCAGATTGAGACTGGGACATACAAGCCATTTGGAAAACATCCAAATAACAGGAAAAGACAAAGGGACGAAAATCCAATGTTCAATTGGACAAAAAGAAGCATTATGTTTGAGTTGCCTTACTGGAAGACGCTTAAGCTTCGACACAACCTTGATGTCATGTACATAGAGAAGAACATTTGTGACAATTTGATGGGGACACTATTAAATGTTGATGGGAAGAACAAGGACACAGAAAAAGCATGGATTGATTTGGCAAATTTAAAAATTAGGAAGGAGTTACACCTACAGAGGCGTGGAGATGGGTCATTTGTGAAGCCGCCAGCTGTGTACACATTATCCACGAAACAAAGACAAGGCTTTTGTGCTTTTTTGAAATCAATCAAGTATCCTGACGGTTATGCAGCAAACATCTCCAATTGCGTGAATGCTGATAGTGGCAAAATCTCAGGCCTCAAAAGTCATGATTGTCATGTGCTTGTACAACGACTACTTCCGGTTGGGATGCGTGGGTATCTTAACAATGCAATTGGTGCAACTCTTTTTGAGTTAGGAAATTTCTTTCAACAATTGTGTTCAAAGACGTTGAAGGTGACAGATTTAGAGAAACTACAGGATCAAAGCGTACTCGTACTTTGCAAGCTTGAGAAGATTTTCCCTCCAGCTTTCTTTGATGTCATGGTTCACTTGGTTGTTCATTTGCCGTGCGAGGCTATACTTGGAGGGCCAGTGTAATATCGATGGATGTATCCAATTGAACGGTAATTATTTATGCTCTTACCATATCACGCTCATCAACCGTTAATGGTAGTCCATATTGTTGTTTAGTATGGACGTAATAAAATTTTTCCCTCTTGTAGGCTACTTGGAATTCTAAAAGGATTTGCTACCAATAAAGCTCATCCTGAAGGTTCAATTGCAGAGGCATACATTTCCAAAGAATGTACAACTTTCTGCTCAATTCATCTTGATGGAATTGAAATAGTGTTTAATCGAGAAGAAAAGAATGATGACGGTGGTGACCACGGCTCAAGGTTAGCCATCTTCTCTCAAAACATTCGTCCATTTGGTCTAATCAGTAGGGCACCAGATGTGTCTGTCAACGAACGAGAGATTGCTCACTGGTTTGTCTTGTACAATAGCTTTGAAGTGGAGCAGTACGTAGAGTAAGTTTTCACAATATAAAGAATTTACAGAGCAAATTTAAGTTTGTCCAATTATTCGTAATTATCTCTCTTACTTATCTACTCTTCTTATTAACTAGGGAACACAAGAACATTTTGCAAAATGGAAGTGCATGTGACACCACAAAAAGGCAACGAGATGAATTTCCTAAGTGGTTCAAAGAACTTGTAAGACATCTATTTATCAAACATCTTAGCACATTATGCTATAATCACCTTCAAGAAAGTAACATAACAAGTATTGCTTATGTAGATAAATCAGTTACGGAATCAAGGGTCACCGGAAGCAACTGATGAATTGTGGTCGTTGGCGAATGGTCCTAGTGCAATAGTCAACACATATTCGGGATGTGTTTCTAATGGTGTTCGATTTCATACCATTGACCGTGATAACCGTCGTAAAACTCAAAACAATGGGTTGGTTGTAGAAGGGGAGCATGAGGGTCGTTCAATGCATTTCTACCGTTACTTGAGCAAAGTGTGGGAAATGACATATTTGTTTAGACATCAAGTTCTTTTGTATAAATGTGAATGGTATAACACCGGTAGCAAGAAGACTTGTCTCATGGATACACATGACCCCTTCATATTCTCAACTCAAGTAGAACATGTATTCTACGTTAATGATACCAACTTAGGTGGGAATTGGAAAGTTGTAGAACGATTCCACCATCGAGGAATCTGGAATGTGCCAGAGATGGATGGTGTACCTGATGATGTTCTCAATAGTGTGTTCCAACAAGACGAAATCACTGAGGTTGTAACAATTGTGGACAACAATGGTATGCAATTTGAAGATGGTGGCGATGAAAGGGTTTTGTGTAGAGATGATATTGAATGTGAAATTATTCCAAATACAATGGTTTTCCAATCTCGTAGTCAAACACAAGTCGAGGGTGTTGATGATGCTTTCATTTGTGATAGCGATGCAGATGACTTCGTTGAGGATGATGATGATCAAGAAGAAGACGAATTTGACATTGTTTAACTATGTAAAGCATGACGTAGAACCTTCATGTATTTATTTAGTACACACTGATTGTGGAGATACTACCATAGTTTTTGTTATTTATGTCGTCAATATCACTTGCAAATTTACATAGATGGATTAATATATATATGAAATTAAGATGCTTCATGGATGTTCATTTCTTACGTAAATGTTTGTTAATTATCAATCTTGATGTATATGTCTATGCGCATTAAAAATTTGTGCTTATCCATGTGCTCATTGTGCTCTTTGTCTTTTATTATGTTAAAATGTAACAGAATGGCTCCTGCGAAAAAGATGCGCCATATTCCTTTACCAAAGAGAGCATTAATTGAACCATACTCATCCCCGACCAATACACGTACACCTGCTCTTGAAGGTGTTGCAGCAGATGGATCTCAGTCTATTGCATCATCTCCGTCTGAAAGTAATGCATTGTCAAGATCTAAGACTGTTACACCATCTCCATCTAAAACTAACGCACGAGCTAATCCATTTATGCAATATCGATGGACTGTTGCTAATCCAGCGACAAAATGGGCTGTTGTACAAGCTGTCCGGGTATGATTCAATCGCTTTCATAGTGTGGATGATGGATATAGTCCTATTTTCATTTGCATATAGGAGCTCATTTGTTTTCTTTGTTTTCTTTGTTAGTTATGAAAGCTTGAAAAAGTCTAATTACACATTCACATGCAAAGTGTTTAAAAGCAAAACCAACAGTCATGTCAAGCCTTAGTTAACATCTGCCAACAATATAATCATTCTGGACAAAACTATCGACACTCCAAAGTCCAAACCCCCAGCCAACTAATAGAACCAAATAATTGTCATGCCCAGCTCTGTCCACACCAGTTTGGCCAAAAAAAATTAGGATCTTTAACAGTTAAAACTTTCTCTGTCATATCAAAAATTAGGATCTTTAACCGTTAGAATTTTCGATATTTTATAATAGAAATTAATGTATCACATCTATAAGGGTAATAATAAAACTAAAAAGTATAAAATATGGAATTTAGGATTTGGTGGATTAACTCTCCCAAGTAATAAGATTTATTGTTAAGATACAAAAATATGCATAAAACTAATTAGGATACAAGTATGTAAAAATGTATTCACTATTAAATTGCCTTTAAAAGAAAAAAAATAGAGCTTACTGCTAATATATTGGAGAAGCTGTTCTTTAACTCCCATGAAGAAGGTTTTGATTGGATGAATGTTTTCCAATAAAATATGACAAACTCATATCTTTTTTGTCTTTTTTCTTTTTTCCCTTTTATAGCTCTAAGGCAAACTCATAGTCAGTAGCACACTTGGCTCAAATTGAATAACAGTTTAGTTATTGTTAAAGAACATTCTTTTTGTAGGAATTAGGAGCTTTGTAGGTGAATGCAACTAATCATTTTTTTGTGCCATCGCCTAGCTAGCTGTTTCTTTTGTTAGTTTTTGTTTGGTGTTGTGTTTTCAGTATTCTGTTACAGATTCTCTAGTGCCCTTGGCCCTCTTGGGTTTGTATTGGGTGCTCACTGGAGAATACCCAAAAAAAAAAAAAATACCAGCAGACTTGCCCTGACCTGTGTAGGTTGAGTGTGAGTGGAAAACAAGCGGGTTGGACTGGCTGCAGTTAAAAAATCTCAACCCATCATTACCCCGACTTGACATGCAATATGTATTATGTACACACCCATCCACACAATCCTTATAACAACCATAACTCTAGTCTACTTCAGAGATATTTTCTCCTCTCATTTTTTCACTTCTCTCTAAAGTCCAACACCACAAGATGATTGATGCTCATCGTGCATCGAGTCACACGACCACCTTCAAGGCCCTCCACCAACAACCAAATGAGCAAACATTCCAAGGCATGACCCTCTCTCTTTCTGAAATTTCTCTATCTCTCTGCCTCTGCATCTCACTCCCTTGCTCTTCCCTTACCACCCTTGACCCCCTTCCCCACTCTTCATCTCCCTTCTTACTGGACCTCTTCCCTCGTAGTCCTCCTCTCCACTGCATCTCCACATTTTTCCTCATTCTTCTCAATCTACCTGTGTGTATTATGTGACCTAGACCTACCCACACACAATCCTTAACCCAGCCATAACTCTCTCTCTCTCTCTCTCTCTCTCTCTCTCTCTCTCTCTCACACACACACACACACACATACACACACCTTTTAGACTATCCCTATTAATGTGAAATCAAATTAAGTTTTCTTAGATGATCTTGTTTCATTAGACATAACATGATCAAATGAAGATTAGTTTTCTTAATTTTTGTTTTTAACAGTCATATTAACTGTTCCTCAATATGTGTTTTTTTTTTCATTATGGATTAGTTTTCTTAATTTTTGTTTTTAATAGTCATATTAACTGTTATATGTGTTTTTTTTTTTCATTATGGTTCTAGCTGAATGAGTTCATTAAGGTTATGGTACTCCTTAAATGATAATGGCATCAAGGCTAGGGTTCATTTTTGGATTGCCAATTTATTTGATCAGTTATACACGGTCGGATTGCAAAAGCTTTTTAATTTTTTTCATCTTGCCATTTAGAAACTAAAACAATGAAGTTTTCACTTTTTAAGGAAATCACAAATCCATCACAAGTTCGCTTCCTCTTTTCAGGTTTTAATATGTGTGCGTAGATTTTTTAATTTTTTTTCCTGAATTGTTTGTTTTATATATTTATGGGGGGAAATGTCCATATATAGAGATCACTACTGATTTATTTGAAAATATTATTAGTTAATAATAAGTCATTGTGAATATTGCAAACTCTATTATGCAGATATGATATTTTGGTATATTCGGCTAGTTTAATTTTCTTTACATGTCTTCTTAGTTTCCCCATTGCCTAATAAATCTATTCAGTTCTTCTCTTCTTCTTTTTTTCCTTTTTCGTTCTCTTTTTTGATTGTTTAGACTGGAAAATAAACTAAGAATTGTTATTATTTCCTAGTAACAATACTGCTAAGAAGTATTCTTCTCTTAGATATCTGTTTGTGAAGTTACAGACTATCATTTGCCTCTCATCTAGCCAGCTGACAGAACCCCCAGCCAGCTGATAGAACCAAATAATTGTCATGCCCAGCTCTATCCACACCAGTTTGGCAGAAAAAAATTAGGATCTTTAACAATTAAACTTTCTCTGTCATATCAACAAAATATGCACAGTGGCCTTCTCTTCAAACAGTAGATAAAACTCACGCTATTTTCTTCCTTCTAATCTATCAATCAAGCAACATCTCACTTCCCCTTTAAAATTGGCTCTAATGTGCTATGCAGTTTCCTATGACCCAAATTTTTACTTATCTCATAAAAGGCAGTTAATTCACGAATTTCACATCTCTCTCTCTCTCTCTCTGTCTCTCTCTCTCTCTCATACACACACACAAAATAAAGGTCTTTCCATGCATCAATAACTTCTTGTAACCTGTTATTCTGCAAAGTGGTGACAGGGAAAATCATTATCATTTTACTATGTGATTCTATAAAGAGATATTATTAGAAAAGGTGATTCAACATCTTACCTATTATGGATTATTTTCAATTGCATCAGAGAATTCACTATTAGAAAAACTGTGAAACAAAACCAACACACACACACAAAATAAAGGTCTTTCCATGCATCAATAACTTCTTGTAACCTATTATTCTGCAAAGTGGTGACAGGGAAAATCATTATCATTTTACTATGTGATTCTATAAAGAGATATTATTAGAAAAGGTGATTCAACATCTTACCTATTATGGATTATTTTCAATTGCATCAGAGAATTCACTATTAGAAAAACTGTGAAACAAAACCAAGGCATAAAATGGCATGCAAATGAACATATTTAATGAAGGGACCTAAAGTTCATGCCCAATGTTGAACATATCGAGTAAAAAAATAGAGATAGAAAATAGTATCAAAAGAAACCAAGTAATGGGAAAACAACCACAAAAGGTATTGCATATCTAATGGGTAAAAAAGAGTATACATCTTGTTCAAGTGCAATGCGACGCTCATGAAAAGCTTGCTTCCTTCTCTCCAAGCTAGCCTGTAAAATAGCATTTCCTCTAACCTAACACAGATGGTAGCCAAATTTTGTTTTTGCAATCCTGTGTCACAAGTCATTCTTTGTAATTTCAAGCCTTTGGATAGCCAGTCTACAAACAAGTCATCAAATCTATTTGTCAATAGATAGGTTTCTATACCTATATATACATATATACACACACACAAAAGGTATTGCACCATAGAGCAAAGCCATGACAATTAACTTGTGTTTAACATTAAAATAATATGGTCAGCAAATTCTTTCTTCACATATTGAACTATGAAAGCGGTGGATCATATATCATGGCAAGACTATAAGGAGTCTTCTCCATCATTTAAACTAGTATAATGACACCATTTTAAGGTTTTCTCACTCTTGACATATTTTCAGCTTTTGACATTACATCAGTTAAGTTACTTATTTGGTTTGTATTGATTGTAGGATAAATTTGAGATTGGGGAGAATTACGAGGAGAATTCACTATCCCATCAAGTTGTGGAAAAGAAGTGTTACGTGTTACATAAAGATTGTAAGGTATGTTATGATTTAGTTATTAGTTAGTACTGTTATCATTGTTTAACTATATATGTAACAAATCCTTACAATATGGATTATGTAGCGTCGCTACGACACCGGCAAACTTAATAGGAGCAAACTATCCTACAATCACACTAGTGGGTCGCGATCTTTTCCGGCGGCGATGAGCATTATGGTGAGATGTGTGTCATTGATTTTATTAACTTTATCCACACTTATTTCATATGTTATCATATTAATGAAGGAGTGTTGATCTCGGTGTTTGGCATATCACAGGTGAAGGAAAACGATGGCTTGTTGCCAGATATTTGCGATTTCTACAAGGACACTCATCAGCACAAGAAGACAAAAGAATGGATTAATCCTATATGTGGTGATTTACATGCAAGTATTCCAATCATTTGGACACTTATAGTAACTACTGTGTTTGATTTATATTAACAATATTCCAGTGTCACAATTACAAGAGCAAATGACGATGGTACGGGATGAGTCTATCGAGTCTGGAACGCCCATGACAGAAGAGGATATATCAAGAGTGGTTCTTGGGAAGAATAAGGGATACTTGAGAGGTTTTGGGGTCAGACCAAAGCCCTCGTCCTGTGATTCTGGGTTGAATGCGGCATCACAAGCACACGAGGAGCACTTGAAAGGCTTACATCCGAGTTGGAGATACTGCATATAGAGCAGCAGAGTGACCGTGAGGAGCATCAAAAAAAGGAAGAGGAGCAACAAATAAAATATGCAGAGAATGCAAGACAACGTCAGGAGATGCAGAGGTAGATTTTTGAACTTCAAGGCATGTTGGCGCAAGTTTTGGAAATGCTTAATCCACCAAAGTCCCTACCATAGCTACTCATGGTAATGAGTAAGTGTGCTAAACCAGATTGCATTATATTTATGTTCAAAGTGAAGGCAAATAAACGTGTTCTGGGAATACTAGAGAACAAATTGTGACGCAAAAATGGGAAAATAGCCCATTCGAGGGAAAAATTGGAAATAGCACCGAAACAGCCTCAACATTGTAATGGTCACGTCAATGTACATTAAAAAAAAGGTGTGAGAGGAATCGGCACATCAATTGGACACATGGTTAAAGAGTTAGACAAAAAAATATGAGGAAAAAGGCGAAAATGGGTCATTTAGGGGCAACATAAACAAAAAAACCCCCAAACATCCTGGAGATCATCACGGTTAGCTCCAACTAGATTAAAGAAACTTGTGAGAGCAAGTGGTGTGTCGATAGGATGCACGGTTGGAAATGTAGACCAAAAAATGTGATAAAAAAGCAAAACTGGCCATTTAGGGGCAACTTAAACAAAAAAAAAACCCCCAAACATCCCACAAATCATCGTAATCACCTCCGCCTAGATTAAAGAAACTTGTGAGAGCAAGCGGTGTGTCGATAAGATGCACGGTTATAAATGTATACCAAAAAATGTGAGGAGAAAGGTGAAAACGGGCCATTTGGGGACAGCATAAAAAAAAAAAAAAAAAAAAAAAAAAAAAAAAAAACCCCAAACATCCTGGAGATCATCACGGTCACCTCCAACTAGATTAAAGAAACTTGTGGGACCAAGCGGTGTGTCGATAGGACTAGGGTTGTGGATATATTTGATATTAATGCATGCATGCATGCTTAGGTTGTTAAGAGATGATCAACAAAATACTTTACATGCTGGATCAGAGTGATGTGCATCTTTGATATCCCAATATTTCTAATTCGGGGTTTCCTTTTTCAGCTGAGAAAGTGGAGTTCACAGTACCTCAACGTTGGTCTTTATGTTTCTTATGGCACAATCACTACATTTATTAATCATTTTAGTACAGCTCAACAGTAGATCAAAGGCAAACTTTGCATAACGGCCCAAATGAAAGACCTTAGGTGTTATTTGTTGATCAATGGAAATTATTCAGATTGTATTTGTGTTCAACCAGCAAGGATATATCCCAATTAGATTGAGACACCCTTCACAAATCCCATTGTAACAGCTCCAGTAGCACAAAGCAACAATTACAATTTATAACAGCATATGAGATAAAAACATATTAACCACAAGACCCATCAGCAACTTAGCATCAAACTCTTCGCAACCCTTGACTCCCAAAAACACTTTGCCTTACCTCAATGCAAAATAAGTAGCATCAAAAATATGAGTAGAAGGTAAGTGTTTTAATTTTTTGTCTGGTGTTTGTGGGTAATGTGCTTCTAATACAGAGAAGGGTTTGTTGTTTTGCTAGTTCCTGTGTTGATAAAAAGTGGTATTTTGCTGGTATTTGTCTCTGTGTTTCCCATGGCTAGGGATTTTTAGTCATCATGAAGGATCCCTTTTGTGTTTTGAATTGTTCTAATACCTTGGTGTTCCTTTCATCTTCTTTCTTGTAATGTTAGAATTGATATATATATATGAATAGTGTATACCTTGGCTAGGCATTTGTTAATGTTTCCTTTACTAGGAAAGAAGATGATGTTAATGATGTTTAACTATTGTAAACTTGAACAATAGTTAGAATTGATATTGTGTGGGTGATTTTCCGACCACACTGCCCGCTTAGTAACCAGCTGGAGAGCACTGGCAGAATAGATGGCACCTGACTGACCTGCAACAGAAATATAAGAATCCCGCGGTGGTTTCGACCACCCGGGGGCACTCCGACGATCAAGTCAGTATATCTCTCAAAGATAAATCAAGTACTAAACTCACAAGCTTGAGTATCAAAAAACATACCTTAGACCCATGGGGGTGCCTCTCTTTTATAGCCAACATAAACCTAGTCCCAATAGAAGCCTGACTTCTATAGACTCAAGATTACTGCTAATCTGGGACTCTCAGTGGGATTAGGATAAACTCTCTAAGAGTCTTATCTTTACCCAAACTGAAGTCTTCTCCCAATCTAGGACTCTTGTCCATATCCAAGTTGAGTTCCCTCTTCATTCTAGGACTCTTGTCCCTTATCCTATAGTTGCCCCTCTTCGACAAAACTCGAAAGTCATAACAATGACGGGAGTGAATGTCAAAGCCCAGAGATGACCCATTTTTGACAAGGCCGAAGACTTAGACAAACAAACAAAATACAAAAAAAATAGCATATCATGGGGTAAAAAAAATGAATAAAAATAAATCAGAAATCATCAAATCATCTTGCACAACCACAAAGAGAACCGCGAACTCGATCCAAACACAACTTCTCACTTCACTGCAAAGCTAGGATCATAGCT